CTAGGAAACTTTCTATCTCCAAGTCCCCACAGTGCTGCATCTACACATCCCTAGATCTTTTGTCTAGGCTCTGGGGTTTTGAACTGAGGTTCTCATGCTTTCACAGCTCAGAAAGGCCTAAGACTTGCTATGTAGCTGAGAGTGATCTTGAAATTTGATCTTCCTGTCTCTACCTCTCAGATGCTAGGAGTTTAGACAAGTGCCAGCATATGTTTATGTGGTGCTGGAGATCTGACCTGAGGTCTCCTGCATGCCAGTAAAGCCGTCTACCTGCTGAGCTATAATGTCAGCCTTGGGTCAAACCAGTCTTTATCTTGCTTCTCCTTCCCAGTAAACATCAGACTTAGTTGGTTTGGGGGCCATGTTTGTCCAGACAGAGTGATAACCTTATATTTTACAAACAGTATTAATGAATAGGAAAAGAAGGTTCTCTCATGTGACTAGTAAATCAAATAACACAGGAAGATAAAAAAAAAAAAAAGCCCTTAGGTAACAGCCAAAAATATACACAAATTCTCACATTTGAATATGGTGTATCATTTGAAACTGATGTATTGCAGAAGATTGTAAAACAATAAATATATTTATGTTGGATTTGGAAAGATTGATTAATTTAATTATATAATAACTTAATGAAAGGTTATTAAACCTTCATCAAACACAGTGAAAGAATGTGTAACAGTCTTAACGTTAATGATGGGAACATTATCTGAGGAACTGTACTCAGTAATTTTGTCTAGGTGGTTTTGTTTATTTGCTTGTTTTGTGTTTTGGTCCAAGAAGATGCAAACCAACATCAAGAGAGACAGGACAGGAAAAAGATTAGTAGTTCACACCTGTAATCCCAGCAATAAGGAGTTGAGTACCACCCTTTAATTAACACACACACACACACACACACACACACACACACTTACTTTAGACTTTTGAGACCAGCTCTTTCTCGCTGTATAGCTCGGGCTGGCCTCAAACTCAGTATCCTCCTGCTTCCCTCTCAGATGCTGGGATTTCAGGCATGTGGAACTATGCTCCTTAAGTTCTTAAAAATAAGATAAAATACTGACTCTGGAAGAAGTATTAACAAATTTGGCTATATTCTGATACAAGTTTCCTTGTTAAAAGAAAATCTATAAAGTTGAAAGGAGAAGTTATACACTGTGAGGGGGAAAAAGGTACAAGTCATATCTGACAAAGTTATCCAAAATTAACAAAACTCTGCAAAGTCCTTCTATGAAAAAAAAGGCCCAGAAGAAAATAATTGGAGTGTACGAATATACAGTCACAGAGGAGATAACAGATAGTTCATAATACATTTCTGAAAATCTTCAGAGTTGAGTGTGGTGGTGCATATCCTTAATCCCAGCACTCAGGAGGCAGAGTCATGCCAATCTCTGCGTTTGAGGGCAGCCTGGTATAGAGTTTGTGAGTTGTAGGACAGCCAGGCCTATATAGAGAAACACACAAAAAGTTCATCCACATTAGGAATCAGGGAAATGCAAATGAAAGTGGGATTCTATTTTAGTCTAAAAAAACGCTCTAAAGTCACAGATTTGTTGAACCACTCATGGTTCAAATGTACAAAACAGGTCCAACAGCTTCCTTCCTCTTTCTCCTAATACCCTCCCCCCCTTTGGAAAGGTACTGTCAGCAGTTTGTTCTCTCCCTGTTTTTGTTGCTTGGAATGTTACAATTGTCCATTTGTGTGATTTTTTTTTTCTTAATTTTTAAAATTTTTTTTGAGGGGTGTGTGTGGGGGGGGGGGGCGCGCGCGTGCGCGCGCATGCTTGCTTGTGTATCTTACAATCTTACAGTGTAACCCTGGGTAATCTGGAACTTGCAGCAGTCCTCCTGTCTCAGCCTCTTTTTTTTTTTTTTTTAAACATTTTTTATTATTTTTTACATTCCAATCCCAGTTCCCCCTCCCTCCTATCCTGCTCCTACCACTCCTCCCATCTGCAGATTCTTATCACTTTGCCATGTTGACTGATTGTCAGCTTCCAGCAAAGCACTATACTGCAGTAAATGATCATTTTAGTCTCTGACTTACAAAATCTCGGAGTAAAGATCACTGAGATCAGATGTCCTGCCTTATTAATTAATTTTTTTTTTCAAGACAGGGTTTCTCTGTGTAGCCGTCTGTCCTGGAACTCACTCTGTAGACCAGGCTGGCCTCCAACTCAGATCCAACTGCCTCTGCCTCTCTAGTGCTGGGATTAAAGGTGTGTGCCACCACTACCCATCAAGCCCCCTATTTTAAACTTGAAAAAGTAGGTTGGTTCATGAAGAAGACTTTGAATTTGAAACTAGGTGTGACCATTTGAAAAAAACTGCACGTTACCCATAAATACTGAGGATAGACAGTTTACATGACAGCAAGATAAAACAAGTGATACTTTTATCCTGCATTTTTGTTTTTGTTTTTAGTAATACCAAATTTTGTTTTGGCTGTGTTTGTTTCAATTATTTAGGTTGTGTTACTAATCTGAGTGTTACAACAGGAAATATATTATGAAAAGACAGGATTTAAATTTTTTTTTCTGTACTTGCCTTCAAGTTTGTTTGATATGATGAGATTAGTAATTTTTTACATCATGACTTCCTCTCTTTTGAAAAAAAAACTTCAACTGTCATGATACACATGTGAACATCAGAAGACAACTTACAACAGTTCTTTCCTTCTACCGAGAGGGTTCCCTGGATCAAACTCAGGTCATTAGTCTTGGTGGCAAGCACCTTTATCGAGCTGAGCCATCTTGAGGTTCTAACCTCCTCGTTAACTCCCATGGGTATATGAATTGATCAGAATGAGTTGTTTTTATAAATCTAAGCCATCTGGAATCATCTCACCAGAAATCAAAAGTTAAGAAAGGACCTGGAGATATGGCTCAGAGGTTAAGAGCATTGGCTGGTCTTCCAGAGGTCCTGAGTTCAATTCCCAGCAACCATATGGTGGCTCACAACCATCTGTAATGAGATCTGGTGCCCTCTTCTGGCATGCAGGCATATAAGCAGGCACAACACTGTATAAATAAATAAATCTTTGCTTTAAAGTCATAAGAATGTTATGCCATTTTTATCTTACCTAAAAGGAGGGGAGAGGTAATGGGTTAGACTTCAATCCCTGGAACCTATAGTGGAAAAATGGGTGTGGTGGGTGTGTTTGTAATTATAGCACGAGAGAGGTGGAGACAGATACTTGGGGCCTACTGGCTAGCCACCCTAACCTACTGGGTAAGTTCCAGGTCAGTGACATACCCTATTTCAAAAAAACAAAACAAAAGCCCCAGGAGGCTGTGCCCAAGGAATGACACCTGTAGTTGTGTAATTTACACACACAGGTCCTTTGTGCATTTGTGCATATATGTGTACTTGTACCTAAATGTGAGCATGTGTGCATGCACACATGTAAGCAAATCACATCTGTGTTGTTGAAAAGGAGAACAAGTAAGCATATACATGCATTGCTCTGGAAATAGAAATTAAAAGTACATTTTTTAAAAAACATGGTATAAAATCTTTACATATAAATTCAATTATATATTTACCTAAAAGAATTATAGTTAGCATCTGTTAATTCTGTTATTTTCTAAATTTATATCATTTTAAAGTTTAAAATACAGCCACTGATATTTACTCTATTTGTCATTTCTACTAGAGTTGTAAAGTTGAGTTTTATACTTCTTTCAGGTTAAGGAACTGAATCATTATCTGGAAGCTGAGAAGTCCTGTAGGACTGATCTGGAGATGTATGTAGCTGTTTTGAATACTCAGAAATCTGTTCTACAGGAAGATGCCGAGAAATTGAGGAAAGAATTGCATGAAGGTAAATAAACATATGTTATATACATTTTACTTTATATTCTTCCAAGAGAATTATATAAGTAAAATTCATATTTATTAATAACAGCAACAAATCCTAAACCACCAATGCACCATGCTAGGGATTCAATTTAAGCTTTATTGTCCAGTTTGAAAAGTCTTATGAAAGCTGCTAAAGGAATTTGGATTGCTAGTAGCCTCTCCTTCCACCACTACCACAGTAATAACTTCACAAGGCATAAGCTCTGGGCAGAAAGGTAAGGAAGTTAGACATTTTCTGCTTAAAGTGCTTTAGTTTGCACAGTCATTTAGAGAGAGGCAAATTAGCAAAAGTGAGAGTTGGCTAGAAAGGACCTCATGTAGTATCCTGCTTTCTAAGGGACAGTTTTGATTTCACTGTTGAAGTAGCAATGTGATGTGCAAGTGAACTCTGTGTTTTCACAAATAAAAAAGTTTAAAAAGCAGCTGGCTTGTGTGTGGTGGGTTACACCTATAGTCTTAATACTTGAGAAGCTGAAACAGAGGAATCATTATGATTTGACTCTGTCTCAAAAAAGAAAAAAAAACATGGATTAGAGAGATAGTAGTGCTGTTAAATGCTGACCTATTTTATAATTTTTTATTTTTTTGAGACAGTGTTTCATTGTGTAATCTTGGCTATCCTGGAACTCACTCTGTAGACTAGGCTGGTCTCAAACTCACAGAGATCCACCTGCCTTTGCTGAGATTAAAAGCATACTCCACCACTACCCAGGGAGCACTGTTGTTCTTTCAGAGGAGAGATTTGATTGTCAACTCACAATTACCTATAACACTAACACCTACTCTGGGGTATCCAGGATTCTCTTCATACTCCTGCAGGCACCTGTACTTATGTGCATATAATCATACTCCCCCTCATATGTGAATGATTAAAAATTAAATACTTTTAAGAATCATTTTATTTTTTGAGATCATAATAAAATTGCATCATTTTTCCGTTCCATTTCTTCTTCCAAATGAACCCTCCTGTAAGTCTTGTTCCCTTTCAAATTCTGGGCCTCTCTTAACTTTTTTTTTAAGATTTTTATCTATTATGTATATAACATTCTGCTTCCATGTATATCTGCACAGCAGAAGAGAGCACCAGATCTCATAACAGATGGTTGTGAGCCACCATGTGGTCGCTGGGAATTGAACTCAGGACCTCTGGAAGAGGAGCTACTTCTCTTAACCTCTGAGCCATCTCTCCAGCCCTCCTGGGCCTCTCTTTTAAAAACAAAACCTAAAAACCAAACCAAGCAAAAGAAAAAGACATCATAAAATTGAATATTTGGGATACAGAGTGGTAATTGCTGTTTCCTTAACACAGGTAACAAGTCAGAGCAACACATGTAGCAGCTGCAATTCTGAGGTCACTGAGACTGGTGGCACACAGTATGATCCACTTAGACTTGGAGGCAGGAGAGCAAGAAGTTCAAGGTCATCTTTAGTTGCCATTTATCAAGTTGGAATCCAGCCTAGGACAGAGACCCCATTCCCCCACATCCCTAGAAGACATCTGTAGCAACTATATGGAAATATGAAAACAGTTATAATTTCTGTTGGTAATGGTGTAGCTATAGTTATGCTCCTGTGGTTTGTTGCCTACATTTCACAATAGTTTAATAGAAGGAAATAAGCCTGGTCTCCAGAGCGAGTGCCAGGATAGGCTCCAAAGCTACAGAGAAACCCTGTCTCGGAAAAAAAAAAAAAAAAAAGGGAAATAATGAAATTCAGCTAGGGGATAGTGAAAGTAAAGTTGTAACTATTAAAAACAGAGAGGTGAGTACTCCTGCATACCCCCAGCCTCCTCTTAATTTTTTTTCTTACACATATTGAAATCTATTTGAAATTTTACTTGAAATATATCTTAGTATATAGGATTTAGTCTGTGGTGGTAGAATCCTATAGTGAATACTTTTATCAAATGCTGTGGAAAGAGATATGAACAATGTAGTATTATATATGAGCTAGCTTTCCCCTCTAAATAGTTGAAAACTGAAGTATATGCCTAATATTGCTACATAAGGTGTAAAAATATCCCAACCTTTGATCAGGTCTTGACCTTTAGGAAACAGTTTTTGCATGTGCTGTTAATCAGAAAGACACCTATACTGTCAGTGGGTATCCAAAAGAAAGAGGTTTCAATATGATTAAAATCAAAGTTGTTATTTAAATTTAAAATTTGTGTCCTAGTCCTTCTAAAAATAGTGTAAGACATTGAGGTTATCAAACTTTCCTTATATATATGAGAAAAGTATGAAAAGGTCCATTAAAATGAAGAAGTAATAATAATAATTTCTGGTGGTTGGGGGCAGTTTGGTGGTAGAGTATTTGCCTAGCAAGCACAATGCCCTGGATTTGGTCCTTAGCTCTGAAAAAACAAGCAATCAAAACAAAACAAAAACACCAGTTATTTCTGTATGGACACATAATACATCAAAAAAAAGTGTCGTAGGGTGGTCAAGATGGCTCAGTGACCAAGTCTGATGACCTGAGTTCAAGCCCCAGGATCTACTTAGTAGGAGGAGAAAACTGGCTTCTGCAAGTTGGCCTCTGACCTCCACATAAATACAACCACAAACACAAAATAACTAATTAAAAATGTAATAAAAAGTAAAAGGAAAAATAATAGTATCTTTAAAAGAAGAGAGATAAAAATTGAGAGGCAATGTAACAGTCTAACATTAGGTTAGAATCTAACCTAGTTATTAGTTATACAGTCATTCAGGCAACTGCTGGTCAGAGCCACTGCAGGTTAGAGCTGCCTGCCCTACTGGGTCAGGACATGGAGACTTTGTATTTTAGGCTTTGTCAGGTGGGATGTAAATAAGCTTTTGAAGACTTTTAAAACAGTATTATATTTTCTCAATACTGTTTCTTTGTGGTATATCATGTGTTGTATCCTAGGAGAACATAGAGATAATTAAAGAAACCCTAACACTTTTTATTTAATTCAGGTTTTCTAAAACTTAAAAAGGGCAGAGTTGTTTGTTCCTAAGGGCACAGTTGGGGTCACTTTGCTTTAGAGGGTTGGTGGGAATAGTCATCATATTCAGGGGTAGATTGCTCCTTGGTGTCAGTCAAGAGACGCTCACAGAATAGAATGTTGGCCAAAGGAGACTTGTGCTAAAGAAATTGCCTACCATTAAAATGCAGTGATTTTGATTGGGGGGCTCCTAAACAGTTTGCCATCTCTTGGAGCAAGAACGACAACAACACAACCAGTTAAAACATACATGGCAGAAGGCCAATGACCAGTTTCTGGAATCTCAGCGTTTACTGATGAGAGACATGCAGCGAATGGAGATTGTGTTAACTTCTGAACAACTCCGACAAGTTGAAGAACTGAAGAAGAAAGATCAGGTGAATAAATTGTTGGTTTTTCTTTTTTTAAAGATTTATTCTTAATTATATGTATTTGTGTGTGTGTAGGGGTGTGGGGGGTTGTGCCTTGTCCGCTTGGGTGCATATTGAAGCTGGGGGCATCAGATCTCTTGAAGTTAGGTGTTGTGAGTTTAGAGCCAAACTCAGGTCCTCTGTTCGAGCAGCAGGCACTCTGAAACTCTGAGCCATCCCCCCAGCTCTTATAAATTGTTTCTTAGGTGTCATTATTAATAATTGTGCTCCCCTCCCCTCGGTATTGCCTTGTGTATGTTGGAGGCTAACCTAAATTGTCTTGTGTATATATGTTGGAGGCTAACCTAAGTTGTCTTGTGTATGTATGTTGGAGGCTAACCTAAGTTGGAGCAAGATGTTTTGTGCCACTTTACTATCACTTATTTTTGATGTTGGGGAATCAAACCTAGGGGCCTTGGGCATGCTAAGGCAGATGCTGCCCCATTGTGCAACATCTCTAACCCTTTTTGATATCACTTTGAGAAAACATAGTAGCCAACAAGATCTTGTAGCACACACTTACAACCCCAGCACTTGAGTCTGCAGTTGGAGATGAATGAATATGAGAGCATCAAGACTCAAAACATTTGAAGGACTTTGTCTTTATACATTATCTCATCCTGGAAGAAACTGATTTAGAAACAACCCTCTTTGGGGATTGAAGATGCATCAGTATTTCTGAGAACATTTATTTTCTCAGTAGTATTATGTAGTTCTCTTAAGATTTCTGAGTTTTCAGAGCAGGCCAAATTTTTGGTGACTTCTGTTATAAAAGTGTGATAGAGTAGATGCTGAGAGTAGTGGCCTACACCTCAAATCTCAGTACTTAGGAGACTGAGGCAGGAGAATCATGATTTCAGGACAGTCTAGGTTATGTAGTGAGATCCTGTCACACCGCCAACCCCACTGCCCAAACAAGAGGATAGGAATGGAGCCTCCAAGTGTGGAAGGCAATAGGCGTTCCTAGTGCTTCCTTCCAGATGCTCTGTTTCTCATTATTTGAAAATTGCTTCAGTTAAATGACTGTGTAACACTAATACTTTCTCATAGAAAACGTTGCTTGTTTAAAATACAAAGAGGTGGGTGCTTAAGAGATGGCTCAGCTGTTAAGAGCACTTGTTCTTGCAGAAGTCTTAGGTTCAATTGTTAGCACCCACATCGTAGTTCACAATCATCCACTCTTTTTTTTGGGGGGGTGGGGGTGGGGGTTTTGAGACAGGGTTTCTCTGTGGCTTTGGAGGCTGTCCTGGAACT